GCAGGACTGGCGGCTGAGAGATGTGTTCCCGTGGAGGGTGGTAGGGGGCATTTGCTACTCCCTTAATTTCTCCAGAAAGGAGCCTGCTGGTCCCCATTGCCTGGGTGCTTCCACTGCCCTCCAGGTTGATGTCAAAGTCTTCTGTCTGCCTGGTAGGTCTGGCGTATTCTGACAGGACTCAGTGCGCATCTGTAAAGGAGGCTTTTGAGAAAAAGGAGGAGCAGGAACATGGCCTGGATTTCTGGAGGTGTGTGGGGATGGAGGGGAGGATGGGCGCCAGGCACTGACTAAGATGCCCAAAATCGGAGTGGAGTGCAGTGACTGCAACCAGAGCAGGTCTGACATCCAGAAGCATCTCCTGATTTTGCCCTCTTTAACAATGTTCAAGGCATGTCGTCCATCTTCTTCCCTCCCCTCCCCGATTTGGGGCATGAAAAGATGGTTTTAGGAGGTGGGATGCTGAGAGAGTCATAATTATGAGTACCACATAACAACCCGCTTTCTAGAATATGCGGTGCCCTTCCCCCATTTTATGCTGCGCATTGCAACAGGATGTGGTGCACCTAGTGGTGAATCCTCAGAATTGGAGAAGAGAGTGCTGGAAAGAGTATGACGTCAACAAAAGGAATGATTATCTCTGGAACCCTGAAGCAGAGCCTAAATAAAACAAGTATATCCTTCAACAGTACCCTAAATGTTGAAAGACAGATAATATTGGGACTCTTCTCCTGGTGTTTGTCTGGTCCTCAAGCACTCAACTGCTGCCATTGTGTCCTGACTGTCTTACCTTTTCATCTGTTTGTCCATAGGCCTGCTTTAAGGCTGGTCAGTTCTGCAAGAAAGGAAAGCAGGAGGAGACTGGCTCCAATCTCTGGAGGTTGGTGAGAAGGGGGGCACTGCAGAGGACAGCTACAGAGGAAGAGCATGGCAGGTGGCTTTGATCCAAGTGGGTGCAGGACTGCTGCTACTTCTCTTCTCTCTGCTAGATTTGCACATTGCCACAGCATCTCTTGTCCATTTCATGCAGGAGATATTAGGAATATTGAGGTAGGTGCAGGTTGGGCTATGACTGGGAGGAGAAGACCTGAGATCAGGGACCAGGTGACAGGAAATGTTGGACATTTTGGATGTTAGAAGGGAGAGAGATTCATCTGGGGGTCCATGCCTGTCTACCAAGCGCTCAAACTCTGTTCTCTTCTGTATGTTTGCTTGTCTGTAGGACCCCTGCAGTCAACTGTGGGGCTTGACACCACTTGAACAAATAAAGGAGAGAAAAGTTGCACCACATCAGTGAAGGTTGGTGTGAAAATGGGTATACTTTTGGGTGGGGCACTGGAAACCAGCACAGATCCAGGAATGATTAGGTTTCAGTCTGGGGATTCATCTGCCTCTTCCAGTGCCAGCACATTTTCCCATCATCCCTGTTCCTTTTTTTGTAACAGGCAATGGGGACAGAGATTTTTCTCATAGCCCTGCTGTCCTACCCAGCATTCAACACCAGTCTCTCTGTGTAAGTCTCTGCATGGGGCAGCTCAATTGGAAGAGTCTGAAAGCCCCATTTCTTTCTCTCTCTCTCTCTAGATCCACCTCCAGTGGCAGCTCTGGTGGTGTTGGAGTTAACTGCTGACTACCACCCTCAACTGGTCTGCACCCACCCAGGAACCATCCATCTTCCCTCAGCTTGGTTGTGCCTCTTATTATTGACTGAGACAGTGCTTCAGAAGGAGGCTGATTAACTGCCAGACTGGTGGTTGACTCTAACTCTTTTTTCTGATTTTATCACCTGAATCAACAAAAGGTCAGAGTGTGAAGATTCCAGCTTGTAACACATCTGTAGTCAAGGCTGAGACTGGTGTTAGGGTACTTAAGTGGGTCTTCCTTGTAATTTTTACCATGACTGGGGCAGAGATTGAGGCTGGTTCACAGGCTAAGCCTGAAAAGAAGGCTGGGGAAGAGGTTGTTAGTGGTGCTGAAAGAGAGAATGAAGTTCCTCTGGTGGTCAGACCTAAGGTTAGGACCCAGGCCCAGGTTACAGCTGGAGCAAGGCCAAAAACAGAAACCAAGTCTATGCCTGGATCACGGCCCAAAACTGAGGCCCAGGCAATGTCTGGGGCCAGGCCTAAAACTGATGCCAGAGCAGTAGGTGGTGCACGTCCTAAGACTGACGCCAAGGCAATACCTGGGGCAAGGCCCAAGGATGAAGACCAGGCACGGGCTCAGACTGAGTTCGGGGCTGAGACAATGTCACAGGCAGAGGGAGTATCCCAGACTAGTGCTGTTGTCTGGCCACTGGTTAGTACTGAGCCTGGATCAGGTATTAAACCTAATGGCCTGCCTATGGATAGGAAACTGGTCAATGTGGATGCTGAAACTTTTTCTGGAACCCAGAGTCAGACAGGAATCCAACCTTGGTTTGGACCAGGGGAGGAGACTAGTATGGGATCTTGGTGCTATCCAAGGCCCAGGGCCAGAGAGGAAGCCTCTAAAGAGTCTGGATTCTGGTCAGCAGATGAGACCTCTACAGTGTCGTCTTTCTGGGCTGGAGAAGATACCAGTATCAGATCATGGCCCAGGGAAGAGGCCAATACCAGGTCCAGGCACAGGGCTAAACATCAGACCAACCCCAGGTCCAGGCCCAAATCCAAGCAAGAAGCCTACATTGATTTCTGGTCTGGGTCTGAGGATGAGACTGGTAACCCATTCTGCTTCTGGGCTGGAGAAAATACCAGTAACTTGTTCAGGCCCAGAGTCCAGGGGGAGGCAAATATTAAGTCCAAGCTGAGAACAAAGAGAAGGGACTTTTTTGAATCTGAATCTGAAGATGAGGACTATAAGGAATCCTGGTTATTGCCTGGAGAAGAGGCCAATAGTAGACTCAAGCACAGAGACAAGGAGCAGCCTAATACTATCTTGAAACCCAGGACTGAGAAAGATGTTACTAACAGTGATAGGGGCAAGCAAGAGACCAGGTTTGAGGAGGAAGTTATTATTGAGTCCTGGTTCTGGGCGGAAAAAGAGCCCAGTTTGGAAGCTGGGGCTTCATCAATTTGTGACTCTGAGCCAGGGGCTGAGGAGGGGGCCATTGGTGGATCCTTGTTCTGGACTGAGGAAAAGTCCAGTTTGGGAGCTGTGTCTAGAGAAGAAGCCAGGCCAGAGTCTGAAGAAGAGGCCATTTTTGGGTCCTGGTTCTGGGACAGAGATGAGGCCTGCTTTGATCTAAATCCTAATCCTGTATACAAGGCAGGTAACAGGTTCAGAGATTCAGCTGAGGAGGAACTTAAGGCATCATCCAGGCCCAAAACCTGGGAGGAGGTCACTGTTCAATTCAAGCCTGCCCCTTGCCATGGGATTGGCTTCCCATCCACAAACCCCTTTATAATACCTGAAGAGGCTTCTGAAATGCTTGAGGAAAGCCTCAGGTACACAGAACTTAGCTCAGAAGGGGAAGATCAGGAATCTTTGCTTCAGCCTGGTCAGCTTGATATTGATTTTCCATTTCAGTATGATCCTTCCTACAGGTCAGTTCCGGAAATTCGAGAGCATCTTAAGGCCAGGGAGAGTGCAGAGGCTGAGGTTTGGTCCTGCAACTGCATACAGTGTGAACTTAAAATTGGTTCTGTAGAGTTTGAAGAACTACTTTTATTAAAGGAAAAAGTTCGGGATCCTTTTGTTCACGAAATATCTAAAATTGCAATGGGTATGAGAAGTGCTTCTCAATTTACCCGAAATTTCATTCGGGATTCAGGTGTTGTCTCACTTATTGAAACCTTGCTCAATTATCCATCCTCCCGAGTTAGGACAAACTTTTTGGAAAACATGATTCACATGGCTCCACCTTATCCAAATCTAAATATGATTGAGACATTCATATGCCAAGTGTGTGAGGAAACTCTTGCTCATGGTGTGGATTCCCCTGAGCAGCTGACTGGAATCAGGATGCTGAGACACCTTACTGTGACTACTGACTATCACACACTGATTGCCAATTATATGTCTGGGTTTCTGTCCTTATTAACCACTGCCAATGCAAACACAAAGTTTCATGTTCTAAAAATGCTATTGAATTTGTCTGGAAATCCTCTCGTGGCAAAAAAACTATTCAGTGCCCAAGCTCTGTCAATATTTGTGAGTCTCTTTAACATAGAAGAGGCAAATGATAATATTCAAATTGTTATTAAAATGTTTCAGAATATCAGTAATATTATAAAAAATGGAACAATGTCCTTAATTGAGGATGATTTCAGTCTTGAACCCTTTATGTCTGCATTCCGTCAATTTGAAGAGTTGGCCAAGCAACTACAAATCCAGATAGACAATCAAAACGATCCTAAGGTGGGACAACAAAGTTAATATGGTTAACCACCTGCTGCTGATCAGCCTTATGTTCCCAAAGAGCTCTGAGTAGTGCTTTGGTGTTCAGTCTGGTTTCACGTTGTAACTTATATTTTTAATGCTGATGTTAACTTTGTTAAACTCTTGTTTTGAGCTGGATCATTTTGTGGATGCCAAATGAATATTAGAACTGAAACATGTGTTGATATTTGTCTTGCTTTCCAGATTGAGATATTTTTCAGTATTGAGCTTTTAATGAACTAAGTCATCTGAGTAAGCCACCCTGCTAGCCGTTGTTTAAATATATAGTCCTCTATTTGAGTCTGTGTTTTCAATAAAGTACAATGTTCAAATGGACATAAATGACTCTTTTTCAGTTAAAAAAAAAAACAGATACACTGTGCACACTTACAAATATAGACAGTGTCATGATAAATATCCACTCTTTAGAAAACCCTAATCTTTGAGTTTAAGAAGGAAGAGATGACTGTGAGATGTGATATTCAAGCAGTGTTTCAAAGAAGGACTCACTTACATTGGTCACTGAAAGGTAAAATTAGGTTAGTGTTAGAAGTGGACACTGGCTGTGTAAAAAAAAAGTCCATAACTGGAAAATATGTTCCAGCATGGATGTAATCAGTCTGCCTGAAATAGGTGGGAGGAGTTTAGTGAGGGATATAGTTGGAAAGTGGGATAAGACCAGTTTGGGGGAACTGGGTAAGCCAAATATGCACATTTTACAATTCAAAGTACAAATACAGCTTCAATACCACCCAAAGGGAGAAAGGATAGGATAGTGTACCAATTAAATGGAATCAGGAAAAGGATTCTCTTTATGGTCCAAGGAAAGTGTTAAATAACACATAGCCATTAACATGATTATGGGGACCAGCAGTTAATGTAATGGCTATGTCGCTGGACTCCCACGTAGTTGACCGCAGTTCGAGTCCTGGACCTCGTGGCTTAAACTCTCACCAGGCACGTGTGCTTGCGTACCCGAGATCCTGAGAGAAGAATGGAGGAGAAGGGATTGTGGCATTGCCATCTCCCCTGGGGGGTGATTTCTCGCTTTCTGTCTCTATGTCTCTCTCTGTTTTTCTGGTGAGCGCACCCGTCCAATAGCAAAAACCTTTCCAAAAAAATGATTATGAATGGACAAATTTATTGACATGAAATAGCACTGATGATTTTATATTCAGTGTAATAGAGAATAATGTGACATCACTTATGGAAAAATAGATCTCATTTTTAAAATGTGTGTGTAAATACACACAATTTCTATATAATTCAATAGGACTTTCTAAACAACTTCATATATTTCAAAATTGGAATAAAATATGTTTAAAATTCTGGCTTTTTGCCAAGATGGCATGAAAAATGAAGAAAACTCCTGCCTCTCCCAAAGCTGAAGCCAAAGCAAAGGCTTTAAAGGCCAAGAAGGCAGTGCTGAAAGGCATCTGTGGGCATAATAAAAAAAGATGATGATCCACACATCACACACCCTCCGGAGGCCGAAGACACTGTGGCTCTGGAGGCAGGAGGCAGCTCAAATATCCTCAGAAGAGCACCCTCAGGAAAAACAAGCTTGACCACATGCCATCATCAAGTTCTCCTGACCACCAAGGCTACCATGAAGAAGATAGAAAACAGCAACACATTTGTGTTCATTGTGGATGTCAAGGCCAGTAAGCACTAGATCAAACAGGCTGTGAAGATGCTCTATGATATTGATGTGCCAAGGTCAACACCCTAATCAAGCCTGATAGAGAGAAGAAGGCATATGTGGGACTTGGCCAATTCTTTTTTTTTGGAGAGGTTTTCACTACAGGGTGCATGTGCTCACCAGAAAGACAGACAGAGACATAGAGACAGAAAGCAAGAAATCAAGATATTGGGCATGCATGCACATGTGCCCAGCATGAGTTTAAGCCACCAGGTCCGGGACTCAAACCGTGGTCTACTACATGGGAGTCCTACGACATAGCCATTATGCCAACTACTAGTCCCAACTGGGCCAATACTAAATACACACTTTTTCATCATTAAAAAAAAAAATCTCAGAGGGACCAGCAGTTAGCGTAATGGCTATGTCGCTGGACTCCCACGTAGTCGACTGCGGTTCGCGTCCCGGACCCAGTGGCTTAAAACTCACACCAGACGCGTGTGCTTGTGTGCCCAAGATCCCGAGAGGAGAATGGAGGAGAAGGGATTGCGGCGTGGCCATCCCCCGTGGGGGGTGATTTCTCGCTTTCTATCTCTCTTTCTCTCTGTCGGTCTGGCGAGCCCACGTGCTCTATAGCAAAAACCTCTCCAAAAAAACACAAAAAAACAAAAAACCTCAGAGACAGGTATTGGATAGATATAAAAATAAGACAAATACAAAAATTAATATGCCTACATTTAGGGCCCCAAGTTATAGGTTTCCATGCTGCAAAGGATACAGTTATCTGAATATAAGTGTTAAAAATAATTTTTAGAGAGAAAATCATTGAGAAGAGTTGTAAATGATAAAAAATAGCTTTTTTAGTGAAATGTTTTAAAGAAAAAGCTCAAATTACCAAGATTTCTAAGTTTATATTAGTCTGTTATCGGTACAGAAATGGCAACTTTTCCACATGATTACATTTAAAAGATCTAATATTTTGTTTTGAGGTGACAAAGTCCTGGAACTAGATAGTGGTAGTTGTACAGCTTTGGAAATATACTTAATGCCTCTGAATTGTACTCTTTAAAATAGTGACTATTATGTATATCTTGCCACCATAATAATTATAAAAATGACCACACTATTCCTTCAGATAATTTGCAAAACCAGGGATACAATGGGTTTGCAAAGTGAATCCAGACTTGTGGAAAATAGCGATTATTTTATTATTTTTAGAGATGACAAAATACTTCTATTTAGTCTGCAGATGCTTTAAATTTTCAAAATGATCAAAATTATGACTCATGTTGGGACCAGCAGTTAGTGTAATGGCTATGTTGCTGGACTCCCATGCAGTTGACCACAGTTCAAGTCCTGGACCCGGTGGTTTAAACTTGTGCCAGATGCATGTGCATTTGTGCCCAAGATCCCGAGAGGAGAAAGGAGAAGGGATTGCAGCATGGCCATCTCCCAGGGGGGTGATTTCTGGCTTTCTGTCTCTTTGTCTCACTCTGTCTTTCTCGCTAGCGCATGCACCTTATAGCAAAAAAGCTCTCAAAAAAAAAAATGGGACCAGCAGTTAGCATACTGGCTATGTCGCTGGATTCCCACGTAGTCAAGCGCGGTTCGAGTCCCGGACCTGGTGGCTTAAACTCATGCCGGGTGCGTGTGCGTGTGTGCCCAAGATCCTGAGAGGAGAATGGAGGAGAAGGGATTGCGGCGTGGCCACCTCTCCTGGGGGGTGATTTCCTGCTTTCTGTCTCTCTGTCTCTCTCTGTCTATCTGGTGAGCACATGTGCCCTATAGCAAAAACCTCTCAAAAAA